GATACTAATACAAAATGACGAAGTTTAGGCAACAAACCTCCATTAAAACCGCTGGATAAAACAAGCCTTATATTACCAACCACAAAGCGGCAGTTATTAACAGCTCATGGAACCTCAAAGATCAGACTTGTTCCCAGTGCAGCAAAACTCTGGTAGTAAAAGTATTATGTTTATATTCAAGCTCACCAAATTAACGTGAACTACAGTGCTCACTTTCTGAACAGTTACACAAAAGTATTTTCAATTTAAGATGGAAATGACTGCTGAAATACACATTGGTGTTAATGATGATAAAAATTCAAGTTTTCAGATGACTGCGAATAATAACAGATGAGCTTTGCTAATAGACCTGGATCAATAAAATGCTTTACACACCCAGGTACTCCGTTACTAAAATATAAGTAATGTCGATATTACTTATAAATGTTTGATTTCCCATTGGGCAGAGACATGTATCTATCCTCCTACCTTGTGAAGAAAGTCATGATTGGTCTACAGAAGTTCCCACAAACACCATGTGGGCAGAGGATAATGGCATGACTTACATCCTTATGTCAGCCTTGCCTAAAGACGACCTACCTATATACAAAGTAGGCTCACGTGTTTTATGCCTTCTCAGGAAATAAACAAGATTCGAGCTACTGTTTACTCTCAAGTTTGATACATTGCTAATGCAGATGACAAATTAAAAAAAAAAACATAAGTATGTGAATTAATCGTTCTTATTTGTTTACTATTGCCGAGCGTTTCGATAAGGTTGAAATCTTTTGAACGAGACGCGTGAATTATTTTATCCCCAAAGTGATGATTTTCAGTAGTCGCAGCGGGTCTCAGTATGATTATAATAAAAAACGTGAGAACTAGAGGAGAAAAACATCCAGGGTTACCAGAAGAAAATCTCTTAAACCTGAGTATGTTTTCCTATATCCTTTATGGGGCGCGACGGCCAGGTGGAGGCAACATTTGTCCTGGTGGTCACTCCTAGGCCACCCCGCTGTTAATGTGTACCTACAGTAACCTTACAGTTGGGGAAGTGAAGGCTGCCGTGTAGCGTCACCCTTAACGGGCCAACAAGTTAAAATGATCTAATTTCATGTCTTCTTATGAGTTACACGCAAACTAATTTAACTTTCAGAATATGATGTGTGTTTGAGGCCGCTGGTGGTACAGTCATATCTGAGGCTGGTAAGTATACCATCTGGGCCGCTGGTACAATCCCTGAGGCCGCGGGTACAGTATACATCTGAGGCCGCTGGTGGTGCAGTACAGTATACCATCTGAGGCCGCTGGTGGTACAGTACAGTATACCATCTGAGGCCGCTGGTGGTACAGTACAGTATACCATCTGAGGCCGCTGGTGGTACAGCACAGTATACCATCTGAGGCCGTGGTGGTACAGTATACCATCTGAGGCCGCTGGTGGTACAGTACAGTATACCATCTGAGGCCGCTGGTACAGTACAGTATACCATCTGAGGCCGCTGGTGGTAAGCAAGTATACCATCTGAGGCCGCTGGTGGTACAGTACAGTATACCATCTGAGGCCGCTGGTGGTACAGTACAGTATACCATCTGAGGCCGCTGGTAGTATACCATCTGAGGCCGCTGGTGGTACAGCACAGTATACCATCTGAGGCCGCTGGTGGTACAGTATACCATCTGAGGCCGCTGGTGGTACAGTACAGTATACCATCTGAGGCCGCTGGTGGTACAGTACAGTATACCATCTGAGGCCGCTGGTGGTACAGTACAGTATACCATCTGAGGCCGCTGGTGGTACAGTATACCATCTGAGGCCGCTGGTGGTACAGGCACAGTATACCATCTGAGGCCGCTGGTGGTAGCACAGTATACCATCTGGAGGCCGCTGGTGGTACAGTATACCATCTGAGGCCGCTGGTGGTACAGTACAGATACCATCGAGGCCGCTGGTGGTACAGTACAGTATACCATCTGAGGCCGCTGGTGGTACAGTACTGAGGCCGCTGGTGTGCAGTATACCATCTGAGGCCGCTGGTGGTACAGTACAGTATACCATCTGAGGCCGCGGTGGTACAGTACGTATACCATCTGAGGCCGCTGGTGGTACAGTATACCATCTGAGGCCGCTGGTACAGTATACCATCTGAGGCCGCTGGTGGTACAGTACAGTATACCATCTGAGGCCGCTGGTGGTACAGTATACCATCTGAGGCCGCTGGTGGTACAGTATACCATCTGGAGGCCGCTGGTACAGTACAGTATACCATCTGAGGCCGCTGGTGGTGTACTGGGCCGCTGGTGGACAGACAGTATACCATCTGAGGCCGCTGGTGGTACAGTATACCATCTGAGGCCGCTGGTGGAGATACCATCTGAGGCCGCTGGGGTACAGATACCATCTGAGGCCGCTGGTGGTACAGATACCATCTGAGGCACTGGTACAGATACCATCTGAGGCCGCTGGTGGTACAGTATACCATCTGAGGCCGCTGGTGTGTACAGTATACCATCTGAGGCC